GAGAATACCGAGCAGCAGTATGCGAATCTGTGGTACATGAGCTACTGGACGAGTTTGCGGATGTTTTCCCTGCCAAGATTCTAGAAAAGCTACCGCCTATGCATACAGAGAACCACCATATCACCTTCAAGGACCCGAATAATCTAAAAGACCAATCCACCTACTCGATTCCCGATGCCTATAAGGACCAACTATGGGACTGGATCAATGAGATGATCAGAAGAGGAGTGATCTACAGAAAACAGGTGCCTGGCGCAGCACCTATGTTTGTCTAGCCAAAGGCAGATGGAAAGCGAATCAGGCCACTAGTAGATCTCAAGCTCCGAAACAGCAACACAGTGATTGACAGCTCCTCCATCCTGAACCTGACTGAAATCCTTGAAGCAGTAGGCCAGGCAAAATACCACAGCAAGATAGACTTAAGCGACGCTTATTTTCAAACAAGGGTGGATGAGGAAAGCGAATCAAAAAACTCATTCAAGACACCATTCGGAACCTTTATCAGCAAAGCTATGCTGCAAGGAGACGCCAATGCGCCCGCCACCTTTATGCGCATTATGGAAAACCTGTTTGGCGAGTACCTACACCACTTTGTTTGGGTGTATATTGATGACATCCTAATTTACTCAAACACTGAAGCAGAGCATGCGCAGCACATAAGGATGGTGTGCAAGAAATTGCGACAGGAAAGATTGTATGCGAGCAAGAAAAAGACAACCCTGTTTGCGAACCGGCTCGAAATCCTAGGCCACATAATTGATGACCAAAGAATTTATGCCGCCCCTGGGAAAATAGAATCTATCGCAAACTGGACCACACCACGGACACAAAAGGAACTACAGTGGTTCCTTGGATTAGTTAATTACATTGCACATTTCCTCCCATACCATGCTACAATAATAGCGCCCCTCACCCATTTAACAGGAAAGGCTGAGTTCGCATGGACACCCATGCATGACCAGGCTTTCAGGAATGTGAAGAAACTAATCAAGGAAGCCGAAGTGGTCCGACCGCTAGACTACTCTAAAAAGGAACCAATCTGGTTAATCACTGATGCATCAGATGGCGGAGTTGGCGCCTGGGTGGGCCAGGGGTTGTCACATGAAACCGCATGACTGGCAGCACTCCATAGTAGGAAATTCACTGACTCTCAAATGAACTATGGAACAACCGACAAGGAAGCACTCGCGGTTATCGATGCGCTCAATGCTTTCAACCATCTCTTGATGGGAAACCAGTTCACAATAGTTACCAACCACCAACCCCTTACCAACCTCAAGACAGAGAAGATACCAGGATGTGGGAGAATGCGGTGGATCAGCAAAATCAGCAAATATGATGTCAAGATCATCTACATACCAGGACGAACTAACTATTTAGCTGATGCCCTCTCCCGCATTTATGAAAACTATGAGACCGAGAACCCGCCCTTTGTCCAAGACGATACCAGGTCTGACGACGACCTTATTGATTCTACCGCATTCGAACAAGAACTCAGCACTATGGAATCTGCGAAACCTATCTCCCCTACTCCTACCCCTCCTCCGGACTCCTACACGGAGTATTATGCTGAAGGACGAGACAGCCCTTGTGATATTACAGCCAGAAATGACTGGGGCGATACCTGCACCCTCCGACAAACTCCCTCTCCCGACCGAGAGCATGCAGCAATCCATTATTCTGAATGCTACTGTGATCATTGTCCTTACCACCAGACCAAGATCAAGTTTGTCAACAACCATGCCAAACCCCGAAACCAATCCAGCAGGCAGTCGGGATCTACCAGCTATGACTCAGCCTGGGATGAAGAGCAGACAAAGGATATCCTAAACCTTACAGATGAGCTATCGCCACCTCCGGCTACCTTACTTGAACCAGAGGCACAGGTACCTGTTGACATCAAACACTTAGAAGCAGCTGCAATCCTCTACTCTCTACCGACCGAATACCCATCAAGCCCACCCCCAGTAGTAGCCAGACCCCTCTATAGTAACGCACTCGGCTGTTACAATACCGAAACCCTCATCTCTGTCATGCCCCCTACCCATGATGATTTCCGCCACGATCTATATCAATCCTTCAATGAAGAGAAATTAGGACAAGATAAGGATGAGGGACCCAGCTGTGGAGAACTCATAGAAGAAGAGAGGCATGTGCGATTAGCAATGGATGACCTGAAGGGAACCTTTCGAGCCCTGATAATCAAGGCCTACCGCTGCGACTCCCTCTACCACAAAGTCCTTGACAGTGGAAGGACCGGAGACCTAAAGCTCTATGAGATCTTGGATGGAATGATATACTAGTACTCCCCTACCCGATATGGCAACAAAGCCCTTTACATCCCTGATGAACACCTGGTGAACGGAAAGACACTTCGGGAATACCTAATCCGTGAAATCCATGACAAAGACCATGCTAGCGCTGACCGGAACCTCCATTATGCTTCAGAATACCTATACTGGCCGGAAATGCGTAATGACTTCAAGCACTATGCGAAGACGTACGAAGAATGCCAAAGGAATAAGGAACCAACTGCCCTACCGGAAGGATATGCCTGGACACTGAAGCTAGCTGCTGATGTGTTTGAATCATATGCCATAGATTTCGCAGGACCCATTAACAAATCCGGTGGATATGACACTATCCTGGTAGCACTGGACCGCTTCTCTAGATTTACCTGGCTTATACCCACCCTTGCATCTTCTACAGCCCAAGATACAGGGGACCTCCTGCGACGAAATATCTTTATCCCTCATGGCCACCCTCTTTCTATCGTTACCGATACAGACCCTAAGTTCACATCTAAGTTCTGGAGACAAACCTTAACCTCAATGGGAATAGAACACATCCTAGCCACGCCGGGCCACCACCAAACGACCGGCCAAGTGGAATGAAAGATCAGAGAAGTCAAGACAGGCCTCCGGAACATAATTAACAAGCGACAAAACAACTGGGAACCAGCCCTTCCGGAAGCAGCAGCATACATCAATGTAATGTACTCTAGTACTATTGACACAGCCCCGTACAAAGCAATATATGGACGAAACTATCCTCTCTTACCCCGCACTTTATTTAAGGACTCTACAGTACCAGCTTCTGACAGCCACCTCAACCGACACGAAGCCCTACGAAACGATGCCTATCAGGCACTAAGAACCACCCGATTCTGAAATACAACAAAAATCTCAAAAGGAGCAAAGATTCCATCATGCCATACCCCCCGGCGCTATAGTTATGGTACATGGAAACCTGTGGAGCCCAGAGACCGGCAGAAGTAGGAAACTCCAACCCCGCTGGCGAGGTCCATTCAAAGTACTGGAATTCGACAGCAATACCGAGAATTACACCATCAAACTGGAAGGACGGATGTACCGGTGTGGCAAGGCAGTAATTCATTCAACTACAGTTAAGAGATGGCACCCAAATGACGATAGCAATTCCCAGGACGCAGCCACTCCCGGCCAGCCCAGCTACTTATCCACAACCAGGAGGAATGGGAAGTAGAGGAGATACTTGACCACAGAAAGCGCTACGGACCCGATCAGTTCCTGATCAAATGGAAAGGTTATCCAGACTCAGAGAATAGGTGGGAGCCAGTGGAAGGAATTGAGAATGCGATGACCCTTGTGCATGAGTGGTGGGAAGCCAACATGCCCCAAGAACAACTACCGCCTACTATCAATCACATAACGATTACTTGGTCACCTACCTTACCTACCACACAACGAATACGCGAAGACCCCCCGACCAGACCAGATTTCTGGGTGTCCTACGATGCAAACAAGTTTGAAAGCAGCAGTGACGAGGACCAAACGATGGCAGATGTTATAGAAACCTTTATCTAATGGCACACGCCCTATCAGAATACCTTAAAGATGGAAAACTATGAGGAACTGAATGTGAGGCTACGACCTCAGCTTGTGGAACTGTTGGTAGACCGCGGTGCTATCCTACTGGAAAACTATTTCGATACCCTCTTGGTTGATTACTGCCCGAATTGCGAAGACCTACTGGTGGAAGTATGGGAAAGAGCGGCAGGTATCCACGATTACTGTGACTTTCATTTCCTTTATTCAAATTGTTTTGTGCAATTACGAATATGTCTATTTAGTATTGGCGACAGAGACTGGCTGCTAGCTGATGAGGAATATGATGAGGATTTTTATGAGGATTTTGATTTTCGAGATTATTGATTTGTTTAGGCAAACAGATGTTTTGTTTTGGGGAATGTAACCGGAACTGGAGTTCAGTCCGTTCGGTTAAAGGATTTGTTTTATGTTTTGTTTTACTTGTGGTTTTGAGTATCCTTTGATACTCAGTTTGTCTTACTTGTGGTTTCAAGTATCCTTTGATACTGAGTTTGTTTTATTTGTTTTACTTGTAGTTTTGAGTATCCTTTGATACTCAGTTTGTTTTACTTGTGGTTTCGAGTATCCTTTGATACTCAGTTTGTTTTATGGTTTTAGTAAGGAGGTTTTGGAAATGTGTCCATGCAGGACATGGACGAAGTTTTATATTTAAAGACCGCTGATTCCCTTAGAGGAACAGCAGACTTCGACAGACAGAGTATTTCTCATATACTTGGTTGAACGGTTACCTCTTCAAGTTCCTATTCCTTATATCTTTCTCTCGGAGCCTCCCTTAGCGCAGTCCGCCCATAGGTTGTAGATCAACTTGTGCGCTACTCCTATTGTACCCGCAAGCGTGACTAGCACCCCGGTGCGAACACGTTACACCGGGAGTCATTTGCCACCGTTTAGATCAACGACATCAGTAATGTTGAGTAACTGTGTAGTGGGTCTGAAAAAGACTATTCGAGATCTGAAGAAGATTCTTGAATCTGGTCCAAGTTGTGAGGTGTGGCTGAATAATAGAGAACTTCTGCTTAATAGAATAAACAGAAGACCTGAAGCTATATAATTAACAACTATTCTCATGGATCTGGAGTTAATTTCAAACCAAAAATCTCTCTAAAATTGTCTCTACTTATTCTATCTATCATGACACCAGCTGAACACCCTATATCCTATGAAGCAATCCCTGAAAATGGGGTCCAAAATACAGACCAAACGGAAAGACTGAAACCCGGACCGAGGCCAGGAGCAAGGAATCAAATACCAGCAACCTTTCGTGCTTCTGTGAAAAGAGTAATTAAAACCCGATCCCGCGAGGAAAAGCTTGCTGTACTTCAGTACTGGAAGCATGGCCGAGTACAGGATGAGAATAGAGGAGAGGCGTTTCAACGTCCAGTAACTCTAAAAGAGGTCTCCGTTCGGTATAAGGTGAGTTGGATTTTTCTGGACTCATACCCCACTATCTCAGAGGACCAAATTCCAAGGAATCTCCCTGGTACATGAGTGGTCTGGAACAACAGACTTAGCTTTGATGTAAATGAAAATGTGGAACTTAGAGAGGTTCATACAGGACAGCGAGATATCCAGTTTGGTATGATTTGGGATAGCTGGGAGGCATATACTTGATAACCAGTATTGACTGATATGAAATTAATAACTAATTCTGATTAGATTCCAGAGAGCACAATCTCGGACAGGAGAAGAAATGAGAAGACAATTCTTCATACCAGATCACACGGTCGTTCTAGGCAGCAGATTGGAATCGACATATGCGAATATCCAGAAATGGAATGAACACTCTACAATCGCTTCAGCAAACGCCGGGCTGAAGGCCTTATAGTACGTCGTATATGGTTTAAACTGGCAAGTAACCTGCTGTTTAAAGAAATATACTCTGAGCTTGATCCAATGAAATTCACATTTTCACACGGCTGGTTTAATCGCTTTCTGGCTCGTTGGAACATATCTCCTTGTACAACTACCAATAAAGCCCAACATATCCCATCTCATTATCGTATTTTGATCCAGAGTTGGCTCCAATTCAACTGTCGAAATTCACAGTTGCGTGCCGGTGACTATAGATATGAGATTGGTCGGTTTGATCTCTCTCATATTGCCAATATGGATCAAATACCACTTCCATTTGAATATGTTACAGGAAAAACATATTCCTCCAAGGGCGATAAAACAATATGGACTAAATCTGAGCGCTCTGGGTGGGACAAACGTCAAGCGACCCTTGTTCTTACTGTCTTTGCTGATAGGGTTGGAAGAGTTAAGCCTCTTATCATTTTCCGGGGAACTGAGGATCCACGATTGCAACAGAGATACTATGGAGAGGAAGAAAAGCAGTATGACAAGCGCGTCACTGTCTGGTTTAACCCAAAAGGCTATGCTAATACCCAGACAACTCTGAGGTGGATTCAAGAGTTTCTTATCCCCGGATTTCACCCTGCTGGTCTAGGACCAAGAATGTGGAATAGGGGACCTTCTTTGCTACAAACTCTCCCTAGCGGTAAACCTGAACCTGCTATCCTTGCTCTAGATGCTGCTCGCTTCCATCACACTCCTGAAGTTTTAAATACTTTAAGAGAGAATGATATCATTCTATCTCTGATACCTGGTGGATGTACAGGATTAATTCAAGTTCTTGATATTTCTGTAAATAAGCCTCTCAAGGAATTGATTCGAAATGAGCTGGATACAGTACTCAAATCAATGGGTCAAGAGGCACTTGATGCTCTTGATGATGCTTCTAGTTCTGCAATTGGAAAGAGAAGAATTATTATGACATATGTAGTAGGAGCTGCATGGGAAAAGGTAAGTGATACTACCATAATCCGGTTAGTAAATTATAGCTAATCTATGAGTCTACTAGTTCTGTGCAGAGAAACAGCATGTGGTCATTAAAGGATTCCGTATGGTCGGCATGTCACTTCCGATCAGTGGCAGCCATGATCATGAGTTACAGGTGAAGGGAATTTCCGAGTTAGGAGTAGGTGATTGGAGGGAAGAAGGTCCGGATATTCAAGATGAGCAGGAGATAGAAATAGGAGAAGAGGATGATCTTTTGGAGGAGTTAGACTATGATCATCGGACTTGAAGAATTAACCATGCCTTCATGTACTATCACTCACTCTGTACTACCTCAAAATTTTAGGGCCTGTTCGGCAAGCGCCCATACAAAAATACTATCGTATTTCAGGGAAATAGCTTATCAGCTGAAATAAAATACTATAGTATTTCTAAAAATAATGGTGTTTGGCAATACACTTTTACTATTGTATTTTTCTTAATAAGCAAAATCTTATCTGATGTCTGTAATAGAACTTGTATAATATGAGTATGTTTTTTGTATTTATTAGACATGTGGTATACTACAATTCTGTTTTCTCCACACAACAAAATATCTCTTCTTTGTTTCTATGATGGCAAACAGCATTTGGGTATCATCAACTGAGAAGTTTCTCATTGAAGCACTTCTGAAGCGTGTTCGGCAGGGTGAGCGTACTGAGAATGGATTTAAAAAAGCAGTATGGGCACAGGTTGTAGCCGAGCTCAATGCCAAATTCAAAGAGGTGCTTCCTAAGCTGATTACAGTTATGCAAGCAAAAAATAAAGAAGTTATTGTAAGTGAATTGATCCAATTAAATGCAATCTTTGTAGCAGTTTATAAATAATTAAGGTAAAGTATATTGGCTAATTATTCAATTGAATTTTGATTAGCTTAAGCATGAGTTTGAAATTGTTCGAAAGATAAGATCAAACTCAGGATTTGGTTGGGATGAGTTTAAGGGTATTCCCACAGCGCCAGCATTAGTTTGGCAAGAGTATACAGCTGTAAGTACTATTTTCTATGATAAAAGCTAAGTGATAAACATTTATATGAGTTCAAGCTAATAGGAGATTAATGAAATACTATATATATAGGTCCATAAAGAAGCTGGAAAGTATCGCCATAAGGGATTGCCCCACTATGAGCTTCTCGAAGAGTTGTTTTCTGGTGTGGCGGCTTCAGGAAGATTTGCAAGAACTGGGGAGATTGAATCTACGGCAGAGAGGGATCAGGTAGTATTGGAAATGGAGTTGGGCACAGGAGAATTGAGGGGTTTAGAGCAAGATGGAGAAGTGACTGGTAGCCAGCCTGAGCATGAACTAGAAATTATTGGAAGTTCTATGCCCAATAATTCTGTTTTGGCTCAGGCTGGAAACTGGAGGCCTAGGTTGAGTGGAGGCTCTAGTAGCCATGGTTCAAGCTCACTTGTACGCAGTCGGAGTAGACTTTCTGATGCTGGTGGTGAAGAGTTAGGAGATGGGAGTGATGGAGGCCATCGTAATAAGCATGTCCGTACAAGCAGGACACCTCAAGGTACACTTGCAAATGCACTGGCACTGCTCGCTCTCCGCGATGAGGCTGTTGAACAGAGAATTCAGAGCCAAACCAGCAAAGAAGAGCAGGCAATCAAAAAGTTCCTTGAGCTTTATACAGAGTCAGATGAGTATAGTGAGTCTGATATCACGAAGCTGGTACTTGCTCTTCAGGAGAGAAAAAATGCTATTGGATTTTTGGCAATTGCCAAATATCCTGGCATCAGAACTAATTGGATTGCAACACAGCTTGCTTCTTAATTTATGTAATAGATATCTTTTATGTATGTGACTTGTGCTCCTATCAATAAAGTATTTTATTATTTAATGGTAGTGAATTATAATCTAATAATCCTTGCATAACTATACTTTATGTCTATTTAAATACAGCTGATAATCTCTCCACATTTCAGATGCAAGTTGATCTCGCAATCTTGCCATTCCCTGTTCATCATTATCTCTGTTGCCTTCATATGCATTCTCCACTAGGGCTTCTTCCTCCCTATTATCTCCTACATGTTCATATTGTTCTCCTGATCTCATATTTCCACTATGGCCTATTGATTATAAGTTAAGACAAGATCAATTCTCTCTCTCTTGACAACTTACCTGAATTTGAGTGTCTTCCTGCTTGACTCTCCTGTGACAGAAGCTCTTCAATTGAGTCTTCATTATCATCAGTCAAACCTAATATATCATTTACTGAATCCAATTCCTGCTCTTGTTGATGGCGCTTAATAAAATTGTGCAAAGCTGTTAGAGCTAAGACAAGCTTAACCTGACTTTGAAATGGGTACTCTGCCGCAGTTTTCAAGATTGGAAATCTTCGCTTGAGGACTCCAAAGATTCTTTCAATTGAATTCCTCAACTGAGAATGCCGTAGATTAAACAGCTCTTCCTTATTTTGTGGCCTGATTTACATTGATAATTAGCATGCTTTAATCAATTAACAACTGTATTTGATTATACTCTATCATAATAGTCTAAGGATTCATTTCCTCAAGAATAAAGACAAAATATAATATACCTATTACGTGATCGGTACTGCTCACGTAGATGATATCGTACCCCACGGTATGGTGTCAAGCACCCTTTCCTTAATGCATATCCAGCATCGCAAAGGTAGTACTTCCCTTCAGGTATTACAAATCCCTTATCAAATGCATCATTCAATACTTTTCCATCATGAGCAGACCCCTCCCATCCAGCCAAAACATAACAGAACTGGAGATCAAATGTACAGGCAGCCATAACATTCTGAGTTATCTGGCCCTTGCGGTTCCGATATGTTCCCACATCTTGTCCTAGTATATGAGCTAGTACATGAGTACCATCAATTGCTCCTAGTACATTCTTGAAGTATGGATAGAACTTCTTATTTCTCTCCACTTCATATGGACACTCATTCACTGGGAGTTTAACAAAGCTGGTGTGTAGCTTTATCAGACTGTTTAAAACAATATTGAAGTAGCTATTAATCTCATATTTTATTAGTATTTATATCAAACAAGTTATTAGACTATAGAAATTGTTACTTACCGGCTAACAGTATCACCACTATGTTGAAACCTTTCTTGCACATCCCAATTTGAGGCATTCTGCCCAGCAGTCCAAATAAACATGGCTACTTGCTCCTCTACCTTAACAAACTTTGTTGAGACAAGAAGACCTCTATCCTCTAGCCATTGACATAGTTGAAGGAATACTTCACGTGGCATTCTTAATACCTCAATTACTCGTCTTCTATTTGTTGATGGAGCAAGTAGTTCTTCTACATAATCTTTCCCCAAAAGTATAGAGTTCCGACATTCCTGAATCTCATATCGTGCTCCTGCTACATCGGCAACAGCTGTAGCAATATTCAACAGGAAGGTGGCATTTAGTCGAAGGGAAATATTGCAATCGCTGTGGTTGGCCTGATCCATATCATCGTCCATAATCCAGTGAGTAAGGTGGTATTGTTGGTTAGAAAGGATATGATTCTGCTGGACTGAAATTAAGAACTTTTTTTGTAGTCAGGTACTGATAATACTAATATTGTATAAAATAATGAAGTAAAAAGGGTTGTATTTGAAGAATAGAAAAACAATTGACAATCTCATACTATATTACTTATAGAAAGCTTGAATTTATTCATTTTGAATTGTTTTTACAAAAATACTATAGTAAAAAATTCAGTTGTATTTTTATAAAAATACTATAGTATTTGTGGCTTGCCGAACACTTGGCCAAACTAAAATAAAACTACTGCAAAAAATACACCGTAAAAGTAGTAATACTATCGTATTCTTGGCTTGCCGAACAGGGCCTTAACTCTACTTTTGCTACTTGCCACACTACGCTGCACCCTCCTTTTACTAGCCGGGTCATAATCCCTGCCGTTGCCGTGGAGATGGTGAAAGTGTTGTAATTAAGAAAAATAGCAGAACCTCCCTAATGAGCAATTCTGGCATGAGTGGAGGAAGTTTAATC